AAAATTAACAGGATTTCTTTAAATACATTAAGGGTAAACAAAATGTTAGGATTGAGGTAGGACCCTCGAGGGATGATAAAGGAAGGCTCTTATCTGATGATTATGGGTGGCTGGATTATTAAATTTTGCTTTTTCTATGGTTTTTACTTACAAAGATTTAAGCAGTATTCCACATCTTGAACAATTTTTAGATGGAAATGAAATCAAACCAATTGACTGCATTAATTCTGAGCTGGTTGAGAAAAAATTGGGAAGTTTAAGAATAAGGCTCCTGGCCCAGATAATATTTTCCCAGGGGTTTTGAAGGAGGTTATAGATTGGGCATGTGAGCCACTTGGTACTATTTTTTGTCAGTTTTTGAATAGTGGGCAGGTACCAGAAGATTGGAAGTTAACAGATGTAGCTTATCTTTTCAAGGGAGGTGATAAAAATTGTCCCAGTAATTATAGATCCATTAGTCTTACATCAGTTGTGGGAAAAGTTTTAGAAAGTCTGATAAAAGACACTTTGCAAAGTCATTTTAGAATTTTATTGGATAGTAAACATGGTTTCACTATGGGAAAATCTTGCCTTACAAATCTTTTGACATTCTTTGAAAAGGTTACTGTTTATGTAGATGAGGTTATGAGTGTAGATTTGGTGTATCTGGATTTCTAGAAAGCATTTAACAAGGTGCCCACATAATAGGTTAGTTAATAAAAAAAAAAAATTCTATAGGTGTGGGGGGATAAGTTAGCAAATTAGATAGAAGATTGGCTGGATGGAAGAAAGCAGATTGTTGTTATAAATGGAGTTCAGTCAAACTGGATTAATGTCACAAGTGTGGTACCTCAGGGCTCAGTCTTAGGACCTTTGCTCTCTTTGGTTTACATCAGTGACATAGATGAAGGAATGGTCATTAAATTACTTAAATTTGGAGATGATATTAAGGTCTTGGGTGTTGCTAGCTGTGAAGAGGATGCTGCTGATTTACAAAAGGAATTAGATCAATTAGTGAGTTGGGCAAGATAATGCATGTGGGTTATCATAATTTGAATTATAAGTATAATTTGGATGGGAATAACCTTAACAGTGTTATGAAAGAATTGGATCTTGGTGGAATAGTTGATAATTCTAAAACCATCCAAGCTGTTGCTAGTGGTAGGGCAAATAGGATTTTAGGTTG